TGAGTATGCTTCGTGAAATGTTGTTGCATCAAACTCCTAAGCAGCAGCGCACAATAAAAGTACAGGAAATGATACATAGCTGAGTAAACACAATACCAGTTAAAAATATATAAAAAAATATTTTTTAAATTACCAGAATATGCAAAATATATAAGCTGGTAAATGTGCAAAATAGTAAACTTATACAAGATGGTAAACATCTTCACAGAAACATGTGAACAGTGCAGATAAAGTGACAACAGGTGTTGCATGTATACATAGACACATAGGGATAATAAACCCAAGAACATTCAGCTGTCTTTCTAGAAATTACAGCAAGACAAACAGGCCGTTGTAGACATGATGAAGTTGTTTTGCTGTATTTTTTTTCTTGATATTTTCACTCTGTCTGTCTCAGTGGTTTGAGGACAAGTTCCAAGAGGTGCAGAACGAGGAGCAGCAGTTGAGGAAGCTTCAGGCGGTGGTGGACTCCCTGGTCAACCACAGGAAGGGTGAGCTACCTCTGCCTTCCTCGACTTGTCTTTGCACAATTCTTTTTTTTTTTTTTTAAATCAAATTGTTTCAACTAAGTAAACAGAAGAGTACAGTCCAGCTCCCTAGCCTTTTAGGGTGAAACAAGTAGACTGAATATGTTTTCTGTTTCCCAGAGCTGTGTGGGAGCACGGCAGTATTTGCCAAAAGTATGGCCATGTTGGGAAACTCTGAGGACAACACGGCCCTGTCGCGCGCCCTGTCCCAGCTGGCAGAGGTGGAGGACAAGATGGAGCAGCTGCATCAGGAGCAGGCAGCCAGTGACTTCTTCATCTTCGCAGAGCTGCTGGCCGACTACATCCGCCTGCTGGGTGCTATGCGCGTAAGCTCACTGCTGCAGAATGGTAGTTTTACAGTAATGGAGAATCTTCAGAAGCAGAGAAGAGTAAAGCTTGGGTTGTTCCTGATATTCAGGATTAAAATGATGATATTGCATTCTGTCAGAGCAGCATAAAGACAGCGGTGTCTTTGGTTTAGTGTGTGCTACCTGCTCTCTGTTTGGTAAGTGTTGGATGTCCACAGGGGTGTTTTGACCAGCGTGTGCGGGCGTGGCAGCAATGGCAGGAGGCTCAGAGCACGCTGCAGAAGAAGAGAGAGGCCGAGGCCAAGCTGCTGTGGGCCAACAAGCCGGACAAACTGCAGCAGGCCAAAGACGACATCACCGAGGTAACAGACACAGTGTAGAGAAGACTATTCTGACTATTTTAATAATTGATTAATCATTTTAGTCTTTATTAAGTACATTTATTATGGATGTCTTTTGTTTCCACACAAACAAGTTATTTGAGGTCACCATGGGCTTTGTGATGTTCCTCTTTCACTAGTTTCTGACAATTTAAAGACTTAACGATCATTTGGTTAATTAAAACATAATAAATTGATAGTGAAAAATGTTCATTAGTTGTAGCCCTCCTTTAAAAACTGCAAATGTAACCTGTTTGATATGAATCAAGTTCTACACAATGTAAAAGCACCATCACAACTCCGACAACAGTGCACCTACGTACCTGTTGTAGACAGGTACGTCTACAAATTTCCCCCTGGGGATGAATAAAGTACATATCTATTTATCTATCTATCTATTTATCTATCTATCTATCTATCTATCTATCTATCTATCTATATATATATATCTATATTTGTGTTTTTTTAATTGTTTTTGTTTCCCCCCCTCATGTTTGTGGTCAGTGGGAGGCGAGGGTGACTCAGTACGAGAGAGATTTCGACAGGATTGGCATGACTGTACGCAAGGAGGTTCTCAGGTTTGAGGTATGTTTATGTTTTTAGAAAAGTTTGTCTGTGGATCACTGTAGAAACAAAAAATAGTCACATTAAATCGTCTTTGATCCAAAATTGTAATAAGACAATAAAACATTCAAAATGAAAAGTGAATACTTTTTATAGGCACTGTGTATTTGAGCTTCTGGAAATGTAGGGCTTTCTCATTAGCACTTGTAGTATTAAGAACAACTTCAATGTGAGACCAACACGTTTCAGCAAGAAGCTTCATCAGGGTCACCAAGAAGCAAGTTACATTTTACAAGGAGTCTCCACCCACCGAACGACTTGAAGCTTACAGGTGCCCTGAAATAAACAGCCGACTGAGGCAAGATCTGGACGGATGAGATCTGAGCACAGCGTTATAAAATTAGCTTTTATATCTGAGCAACTAACGTTTTGACGTAAAACAAGCATGAAGACCGAAAGATTTTATCTTTCCAGATCCAACAATTAAAATAGTCTTCTGAGGTGTCGCATATCCTTTTAATTCTGGTGAGTTGGCTCACAGGTAGAATTTTCATTAAGGTGAGATGAGAGCTGGTATTTATATTTTTACCCTGATGAATGGCACAATAAAGACTAATAGACCATCAGGCTACGTTCTCTCTCCGTTCACTTTGGAAGTAGATGAAGTTCTGCCAGAAATTCCCACAGCTGGCTTCTCCATCCTCGAAGAGTTTGAGACATGTCAACACTTTTGTCTTTTCAGAAAGAAAAAGCCAAGGACTTCAGGAGCCAGATAGTCAAATATTTGGATGCAATGCTGCAGTCTCAACAACGGGTAAACATTTAACTATATCAAGTGTTGTATTCATCATGTACGCTTTATTCATGGCTACCAAAGTGTTCCTTTAACAAACATTTGTATTTATTGAAAGATATTGAGCGATTACATGTTAACTGTTTTTTTTCCTCTCGTTCTGTTTTATATTCCAGCTCGTAAAGTTTTGGGAGGCGTTCCTGCCTGAGGCGAAGGCAATAGCTTAATGAAGAGGGAGACTTTTTTTTAAGACCCCAACTGCCTTTTTCGAACACTTTACCTCTTGACTACAAACTGAGAGGACAAATTTTGAAACACACAATAAACTTCCATCCATCTTTTTTCTCTTTTTGATCATAGTGTATTCTCTTAACTTGTACAGTTCTTTGATATGATAAACTGCCGCATTTAACATTTCTTTGGCATAATTCCTTGTTGTATGTTCTTGACTGAAGGATGGTATAAAGCAGGAGATTACCTGTCCGTAATATTTGTAAAAACCCACTGCCTTGTCAGTGGGCTATGTATTTATGTTTCTCGCTTAAACCAGTACATTAACGTGTTAAGACTACGGTACTGCCCGAGAGTAACATTGTGTATAGTTTACATTAGAAGATAGGCGTGTGTAAGTCATTCCAGTCTCTAACAGCTTATGTTGATAAATGCATGTCCGATAATGTTTTGATGCACTAAAATGAATTGTACATTTGGAAAAGCTGTTTTTTTTTTTTTTTTTTTTACTAAAACACCACTACTGATGACTGAGGTCATTTACAAGGAGTATTGGCACATTATTAGTGAATGATATAATGCTCATTAGATCATAGAAATCATGTGAAAACTCAAAGATGTGACGGGGTTACAGGCTCGTCACAGTTACAAATGTGATGAAAGACAGTTAAGGTTACAGTGAGTGCAGGTTGAGAAAACGCAATCACTGATATGTTGGTATCTTCTACGATGATGTATTTGCTCCAATTGTGTTTATTATATTAATCGATTTCTTCCACAACAGTTTTAAGTACTAAAGTCCAAAGTAACTCATCTGGAACCGCTGCAGAGATTGTTTTCTGCCCGTAAATTACTTTTAAGATGTATGTAAACACTCGCAGTACTTGAATCGAATCCTACAATTACTGTCAGATATTATTAGTAAGATACATGTTTTTGATAAATTTGTTAAACGATGACTGAAAGGCACAGACATTCAAGTGATATGGTCACTTATTTTCATATTCAGCATTTGTAGGTGTAGTTTTTCTGTCATGTCATCTTTACGTAAGAACATGCTTTATTTTTGTAACCTCTTTTCATTGGCACACACATTTTCCTGGAAATGCTGAACAGGTAGATGTACCAAATAAATATGATTGGTTAAGCTTTGGGGACTGGTTTCATGTTTTCTTGTTTGTTGTCCCACTTCACTTCATTGTCATGGTTGAATTACAAAACTACGGACCTTTTTTCATAAACATTTTTTTCTTTTTCTTTCCTGTGATTGGTGAAAACTACGACTGGACTTCAGTAATTTGTTCATGCTGTTGATAGTTCCACATTGTATACCTACACTCTCAGACACTATACATAATAATATATGGCACAGGCTATATTTTGTTAAAGCAGAACTATTCGTGGGTCAAAAAGGGGGCTTACACACCGAAAACCTGCTCAGGAAAAAATAGCAATTGGAACATTTACAATTCCACGACTACATCTGCTAATCAGGTTCTTGTGATATGATCGAAGGCTCCAATACAGCTACGGAATCGAGTTTGACTTAAGATTGTTTTGTCAGCTGCTGTTTCCAAGGTTCAGAATGAACTTTGAGGCTCGATATGTAAGTTGCTCTGCTTGTCTTGAAGTATTGGTGGAGTATTAAAGGACTGGTGGGCATCAGGAGCAAAAAGACAGATGTGATCAGGACATCCTTTATATTTATGTTACTTCTCATTACACCAAAGCAAATACCTTGTATGAAAAAACCTTGGCAATAAATCGATCTGATTCTACTGCTTTTTTCTTTTAACTGAGTTCTTTGACTTTCCAACAAGGCATTTAATATATATATAACATATAATTATATATATAGCAAGTGATATATCATTTTCTTGGAAAAAAAAGAAATTGTTTTCTTATCCGCCACCATGATTCAAAATGTAATATATATAAATATGTATGTGTAAAAAGCTCTAGCCAATCACAACATAAAAGACCATAAAGACCCTTTGGTAAAGACAGAAAGAAGAATAAATGATCCAGTTTCTATTCTTTATCACAGAAAAAAAACACCTTAACACTGGTGCTTTGCTTTTAAGATGAACTTGTGCACAACCCTCTACTACACCACATAGGTGTGATGGTACACTAATGAAGTAGACCCGAGACGGTCCTGACCCGGACGTGTGCGCTGAGAAGCGGGCGGTGCCGTTTTTTGTACATCCGGGTATGTTCGAACCTTTCACGAGCAACGAAGAATGGAGAGAGAGCCGCTAAAGACACTCCGCTGTTAGCGTGAAACACATCAGCCAACACAACAAGTAACACCGAGTAAAACCTGCACGTTAAGCTCCGGGGCAGTCGTGACAAACCAAAGCCGTGTCCTGGTCGTCTGGATTGTGTCACAGCGAAGGTGAGCCTGTTGTTTGTTTGTGATGAACATTTGATAGGAAGCTTTTTTTTGGTTGTTAGCTAATATTTTCGTTTGCTAACGGAGCTAATTTCCTTGTTGCGCTCCGTCCAGCTGTCACCTAACCATCAGGAGGTGTTAGCTAAGGCGTTAACATCCAGCAATGAGTGTATTAACTAGACATATATGTTATGGTTGAAAACAAGATGCATGTGTAGGGATGATTCGGAGAACATATTTTAAACCAGAGCACCCACTGTGGCTAAGTAATGTTTGGCTAACGCTAGCTTTGTGGCTGGTTAGTCAGGTTGATAAGCTAACTTGGCTAACGGTTAGTTAATCGATGTGACCATCACTCATGTTAAGTCTTTGTCTGTGAAAGGTTGTTGTACCACTGCCAGCTCGCTTCCTTGTTTTGGTTCCTTGTTTTAAGCCGCCTCGATAGGATCCATCATCTTTATCTTTATCTTTATATTAGCCTCCATTGCCTCCACAGAACACTTCCTCACATACAAAGTGTTACCACTGCTGCTCAGGGCAAGGTAACGGATGCAAAGACAGGATGGCACAGAGTATTAAAATAATATACGTTTCCTAAGGCCCCGGGACACTTGTTTTGAAGCGAACTGGTGCCAGTTATTGTGATTTCTGTTAGGAGTCATTAAGCGTCGAGGTAAATGTGCACGTTTTCTTTGCTCGTGGTCCAATTCGACGTCTCAATGCACCTTTGCTAAACTGCATAGATGGCTTATTAATGAATCAATAGAGTATTCAGTTACCATTCATCTAGAGAAATTGTTGGTTTGGGGTCATTTTCCACTAAGTAACGCAGTGCTTTAAAGAGAGCAATGCAAACTACTTCTGAAGTCATTTTATTGAAATATTACTAGCTGGGCATTTACCCAAATTAGGGCCATGTGGATGCATGATATATTATTGTTGGCATCCTTTTTAAAAGAGCCCAACTGAGGGAAAGGCTGGTTATAAAACACTTTCTGTGTTGCATTTATTTAAAAGTCATGATGAAGTCGAACTTCTCTGAATGCAAGCTTGAACAACCTCTCTGTTCACAGGCTTCAGTTTAGGAAAATCCACATTTAAGAAAAAAACAATTTGCATTTCCCTCATTATTTAAATATTTGGGCACCATTGCAGATTTTGCAGGTAACTATTTACTTGACAGACGTGGTCAATGGCTCATCCTTTTACCATATGTGCAGTTAATTACTACACTGTAAACTACCTCAGTCAAGTCAAAGTAAGCTAAAAGTTGTCTTCACAAAACAACATACTTCTGCTGATCATGCAGTATTTGTAAGATTTTCTTTTTAGATCATACTCCTAAGGTGGAAACATTAGATCATCGTCTTGTATGTGGGTGCACACAACAGCCGTGCATGTATAGATTTGTATTGTTCTCTGGGAATCCATGGAGGAGGAAGACTGTGTAATCTAAATTCCCCCCCCCCCCCAGTTATAGTTCATAAGAGCTGGCTTTAAGGAGAGAGAAGCAGCTGTTAGCTGGCACTGCCACAGTAGGAGTCTGCGCTGTTGGCAGACCCCCCTCTCAGGCTGATCTTTCCACTGAAGGTTAATCACTCCACTCGGAGTCTTTATGTTTCAGTAAAAATGAAAAGATGTCAACAGATAAGTCACTTTTAATAGATGCTAATCAGCTCGAAGCATCTCACGTGTCTCCAAATATCTTTGACGGGCACATTTATGGACTAATCAAGGTTTTAAATACATGTTTCATTGCCACATTAGTGTGTTACTGAAGGAGGTATACCAGTGAATGGGGCTGGATTTGAAAAACCAGCTATTAACCAATTACATCAACTTTGTTGAACTGTTGAAATGTTTAGTTTTTGATTACTGGCAACATCGGAAAAACCCCTTTGCCTCTTTTCGTCAGTCAGGCTTGCTGTTTGGCGTTGTGCCAGTGATTAGACAGTAAACAGTTTATGTGTCTGTGTTGATGCGTCCTGCACATTGCACGGGGATGTTGTAAATTACAGGATTGTGAAAGCAGTGCCGTCAATAATACCTTCTCTGTATAATCCCGGCTTCATGATTTCCAGTGAGACTAGAACATTAAATATGCTGATGTTTTCACATTGGTGATGTGACACGGATGTGAGATCAGCAGAACTTATTGATCGTAGTCACGACCACTCCATTGAGAGAGCCTCGTCAGTAATATGACTCATTTCTTCTTTGTGCAGAGTGACTTTCATTCAAAGGTGTAAAGCAGTGGGATATCCTCTGGTTAGAGAAAGGCAGCTTAACTTGAACAGTGTTTATTGTTATTCATGTGGTGATATTATTGCATGGGTATTCTTTTGTTTTTAGCCACTTGTACACGGTGAGGTTAGCTCATCAATTAAATTCTGAGTGCAATTTTTTTCAGGAAACAAAATGAGTGAAGTGAAATTTCAGAATGTAAACCATGTCTTGCATTTAATCTTAAATAGGTTCATTAATCAATACACTTAATGATTGTTGCTATTACTTGAGCACCCATGAAGGCCAAGCCAGAGTAATGAAATGCCTTAATGCAAATGAGCACTATATCAAACATCAGGCGGTGCCCTCATAAATCTTTACCATCAGACAGGCCGCCACATTCACCGCTTAACTGCTCACGTCCAGGACGAACCCAACTAAAGTTTCCACTTAGAAACTCGACCGTGACGTTCAAAACGCAGAGCAACAACTGAACACGACCTCAACTTTTCCCCAAAGGTTTAGCTCGTTCTCTCACCTGGAGAAGGAGGGACGTGAATCAAGAATCAATTCTCATTTAAGACCGTTTCTGAATTGTCTGATTCCTGGTAGCCTACCAACCACAAGTATTTGTTAACAATGCATGCTGTCAAACAAATGTTGAACAAATTGGAACGAAAAGGGTTAATAAGCTAAATCTGTAATGGGATCTGTGTTGATAAAATCCTTTCATGTCATCTCCTTGTGAGAAACAAAACTACTTTTAAAGGATGCCAAAAGGTGTGTGTCCTCAAACACCCTCTTCTATCAGGAGACGTGGCGCCTCCACAGGGATTACGACCGGGGATTCCCCACGTTACATCAAAACCAACGAAGAAGCCATTTGTCGAGACCACAGAACGTTTAACAGTCCGGTGGATTGCTTGTTCTTTATTAATTAGGCTGATGTGAATATAAACAGACCTACTCCATTCCATTTATTTTTTTAAGTCCACAATACACACACAAAGTGAACAAATCTACATGGGCATCCTCTGAAATAATGCAATCCACCACAACAACACTGCCACTTAACATCTTATAATAAGGTAGAGTTGCACAGTTTCATCTGAAATTAAATATTTACAAAATGCATTCGTTATTGCGGGGCTGTAATAGTGGATTGCATTACATTTTGATAACAATAAGCACATAAGATGTGTGTATCAATATCCAGAGGAAGTGATGCATAAGGAGAAAATTAAAACCACGGGGCTGATTACAGCATATAGTGTGATACGCCTTTGTAATTAAAGGTTGCGGATGCTTTGCTGCCCTTCACGAGCTGTAGTTTTGCTGCCATATATAGGCCAGCATGAGTTACTCTGGTGTCCCTCTTTAATGTTTATTCTCCCGTCCTACCCCTCCAGTAAGGCATGCCTGGACATGTTTAAATTGCAACGTGGCTGTGATAATCTTACTAGTAATACAATTTACAAATGCATAAAACAGCCAAAGAAACTTTACACTCAGTTTTGTGATATTGTTATAATTCTCTCAATTTGACCTTTTTAAAAACACCTTTTAATAGTAAAGTTTGAATATAATTTGCTCCAAATGAACTGGACTAAAACTGGCATTATCATCTTTAACAATAAACTTGTCACAAAAACGTTTTAATACACCGTAGATTTTAGCGTTATTATTGTGGAAATCAATTAAGTTTCTGCTTTGATTTACACGATAACAAATGGCAACGTGACACCTCGGTGTCTGCTGACCAGTTAGAACCAGTCATGCATCTCTCCCTTAAAACAAATGCCCACTCGAATACAGTTAAACTTTACAATCTTCTTATTGTACTAACAATTTGGAATAAACCGAGAGTTCAGAGTTGTGTTCATCAGTGATACAAGGCCAGGTATGATGCTGTAGTTTGCTGTGAGGTGGTGTTGCAGCCTGGGCTGTGTGTGTGTGTGTGTGTGTGTGTGTGTGTGTGTGTGTGTGTGTGT